GGCATGGGCGCAGGCCCGTGTGGGAGTGAAGGTCATCGCTTCACGGTTTCCATGGTTCCTGCCTCACCTGCGGGGTGCCCTTGGAACGGCTCCTCTCAGCAGCGCGTCCCATTCGAGGCCTTCTCCATCTCCGCATCCTTCCGGCCGCCTGGCCTTGCCCACGGCAGCTCTTCCACGGAGAGATTCGCAGCCAGGCCGCTGCTGGAAAGTGCACGCCCGTGCCTGTCCTGTCAAACTAACTGAAGTCAGCCCCCGCAGAACCCCCCCGAAAGCTGCTTTCTGCCCTCAATCTGCTCTGCTCTGCTCTGCCCGAAAGCCGAGGCAGAAGCAGCTCTCGTTGTCCAGAAGCTCAGACCCAGCGTGTCCTCAAATCCAGTCTTTGTGCCATGTCTCTTCCATTGTGCCCGGTAACCAAAGCAAGAAGCACCGAAATTACTAATGAGGTTTCGAAAGCTCCTGAAGAAGTTGTGCATCGGCCCCTCCTGTCAGCTCCTGTGCAAAAGGTGCCTGGTTTCTCCCCACTTCATTTCTCCCCAATTCAATGCTCAGGCTGGGGAGCCACAAAAGGCTTGTTGCCAGTGTCCGGGTGATGTGAGCCCAAGCTCTGCAAACGTGGGACAGTGACTGTGGGAATCTATTGCAGACTCCGATAAAGCAAACCAGCCATCAGGAAAGTGCACTTGTAGGTCTGTTACCAGGGATCGTGCGTTGGACTGGTGATTATTTCCAGTAGCCCACTCCAACCCTGTCACTGGGGATATTATTATGGAAAGTTCTCAACTCTAAAATCTGGGTTTAGTAGTTAAACCTTTGTAAATTTACATAACGGTTTATTTATTTTCACTTTGATGCATTGGTTACTGACAATTTTTATATTTTAAAACCATATATGAAGTGTGCTTAGTACATAAGAGCATAATCTTCATTTACTTTCCCAGGCACTGCTCTTTACTTTACAAACTGTAAAAAATTGACTTTGAATTTTAAGAACTTTTACTTGAATGCAAAATTGTATATATAATTTTTTTCATCATTTGCATCATCACTATAAATATTTTGCATAATTCGAGCTGAAAACTTCTCTGTATGATGTTCATCTTTGATGTTTTTCTTCAGTGTTTCAGCAAAAATGTGTCAGCCTTTTTTGAGAACATAACTAAACAAAAATGATGTGAAACTCAATGAGGGAAACATCAGAGAAGAAGCTGAAATATTGAATGTTTTGAGATTTTCTAGTTCTAAGTCCAAAAAATGATTGGACAAAAGCCCATTGCTGCTCCACTAATGTGAGACTGAAGATATGATCTGAGTGGAGCATTAGGCAGTACCCCTGATGGTGGGAGGGATGGACAGCTGCCCTACCCCGTCTCCCAACTAGAACTATTCCCTTTTGGATACTAAATGGAGCAGGTAGAGCTGTCTTAAAACTGATGCCATGAAGAGCACGATGAGACAAATGGAATATAAACTTACCTTCAAAAAGTTGTGAAGAAAATTGATGTAATGTGATAAGAGAACATTAAAACAATTTTTCAGTTGCAGATAATTCAAACAAAAAATCTTTTCCAGTATGTTTACCAGGGAGAAAGCTTTCAGCATCTAATGAATATCAATATTATAATATGGTTATAAAACAGTAAGTTAAGCATTGGTTTGAGTCAAAATGATGAAGAAAAAAGCTATGTAGAATTCAGCAATAAAAACCTAAAGAATGAAGATGAAGTTAATACTTCAAAAAAAGAATTAGTGCTAATTTTCAAGGTTATTGGAATAAATGGAACAGAAAAAGGTGAAATTTTTGAGACTTTTGTAATACCTTTGACTTAGTATTGCAGAGAATTCTGATAAACATACATGAAATGGCTAAGGGCTGATCAGATGACAGGTCTTTGAAAATACCTGTTATAGTAGAGTTGTACGGTGAGCTGTGCTTTTTCCTGCTCAATACTGCTGCTGGCAATCTGGAAATAGATTCTGAATAATTTATGTTGAAATGTGCTGCTGACACAAATATTGACAAACTTGTAAATAACTCTAAAAAGATGATCATACAGATAATAGGAATCTATTAAAGCAAAGCGTGTTCTGAAATCAAATTGAAACTCAAGTAATAGGTTAAATTAAAGTTGGATTTTTTTCTTTAACAAGAACTGAGCCTGTGTTATTACTTTTAGTTCTTTATTTAACCCAAACAAAAAAAAATCAATACAATATTTGCAACAGCTCTTTAACACAAGAAGAGCCCACTGCTATAGCAGAAATCTAGGCAGGGGTAGAAGAATAAGCATGGGATGTTCTTGGTGCAGGCAGAGAGGGAGAGTGGTGTGAACGTGTAAGGCAGGTGAGATGAGGACGAAGTTGGCTTGAGAATCCCAGAGGAGATGACAGCTTGCATCCTGAGGGACAGTCAAGTTAGGAGAGAAGGATTCACTGCTAGTGTTTATTGTCCTCTGAAATGTCCCAGTGCTGCTAAAACACCTCTGGCCTCTCTCATGTATTGTTCCTAAACACTTTCCCCCTACCCTTATTACCCCAATGCACGTTATGAAGACATTCATGATTGTTGAGATGTGAGGAATTTGCTACGGAGCTCAAATTAGGAAAATTTGGTAGACCAGAACTCAGTCAAAATATCACCAGTGCAATTTGCTCGTTTTAATACTACCAGACTGACAGTGGGCTTAAAAACAAGAGTTTTATACAAAGTCTTTCAGATCAATGTGTGTCCCATGGGACATGGTGATTTTGAGAGAGATCTAGAGAATGTGTTGGACAAGTAAATCTATTTCTAATGCTATCCTGTAGCTGATATGTTTCAGTTTTTAGTACTGGGATACCAGTTAGAAATTGCTAAGTCCACTTTGGGTTTCCATGCCTAAAAAGAGATATTTGAAAAATCAGGGAAATAACTGCACGTGATAGCTGTAAAATTATTTAAGAAAATACTAGGTACATACACAGTTGAGCAATTAGTGAAGATACAGGAAGTCCTAGAAGCAGAACAGAAAGCTTGATTCTTTTTTTCCAGGTAGGAAGACCTCTGTGGCTGGGCTACAGCCCACAAAACTTTTATTTTCATGAAGCCTTCAAGAGACAGTGCTTTACATAGGAGCATGTAACGTTCTGTGATGTGAACAGGCTTATGGGGATCAGTTAGGGATGTGGAGAGAGATTTTATGCACATCTTTCTTGTCTTACCGAACATAGAAGTTTGAGTTTTAACAGCAGAGTGTAAAATGGAAGAATTGTTCAAGAAGCTGAATAAATTTTGAAAAATTGGCTTTGTTTCTTTCCGCTGTGAAAAATCATGCCTGCTAAAGTGTTTTTTGTTCCTCACCTGAAAAAATATCAGAAATTCTGTGCACTCCAAGCTAAAAGCTTTTTTTTTTTGGTCACTATGCTTCCAATGTACCATATGCTAGAAACATGAAACAATATAAAATATTGGAAGACATCTTGTTAATTTAACATGTAAGATTTATGTTTTATGCTTACTCTATCTGCTTACTTTATCTCCCATCTTTAAGACAGAGTGACAGGTCTTCAAGTCAGCATTGCCAAAATAATTTCACTAGTACTCTTGAATCATTCACATCCTCTGATAAAAATAACAAAAAAAATATAGAAGGAAATTAGTAACTTTCTACTCAATGAAGGGATTATGACAGGAAATCCTATGGTAAGAAAGATTTGGACACCATTTTGGATAAAAAAATTATTTTAAAAAATTAACAATACTCAATGAAGCAAGACATTTGCAGAAAAAGTAATATACTATGATATTGCTAGAGACAGTATCATCATACTTACACAAAAGAAGAGAGGGAAATTAATTAAATTACATCACAGGATTGATGCTGTCATTTCTCAATATTTGAGTGATCATGTATTTTAATGTAGCTTGTGGGAGGGGTAATTATAATTGTTTTTATTGTTTGCTACAGCGTTTCTCAAATACTGTCTAAAATAGGATGCCTTTGTGCTGTGCATTATTCAAGCACACACCAGATGACAGCCCCTGCCCCAAATATCTCTCAGTTAAAAAAAAGTGAACACAGATCAAAGAGTGCATGACACACAGAGTGGTAAATGAATTTGCAGAAATCAATATACAAATATTGTTTTTTTTTCAAGTGAATGTTGTCATTAGCAAGGTAATACTTGAATGAAAGAGCAAGGAAAGGAGATTTAGGCAAGCTGGATAAGGGAAACCAGAGAGGCTGTGATGTGAAGAAGAGTGAGAGGAGAAGTTTGAACAGGCAGCCAAACAGCATGGGAAAGAGCCCAGTCAAACCCTTCACACTATCATACATGAAGAACTTCACTTGAGATGTGTAGTTTAAAAAGCACATCTTCATATTCTTGAGAGGCTAGAGGTTAGCAGTAAGACTGGCTGAAGAGGGTGAATCAATTACTCTTACCTGCTTCATTTTGTATTTTACACATGCTATGGAAGAATCTTTTGGCCATTTTTATACATCTGTCTGTTTAGTGAAGCTTTAGCAGGGCAGTCACTTGGAAGTGCTGAAGATGTGGCAGAGAGCAGGAAGAGGAGTTGTACTGTCTCTTGTATGCTGACACTGTTGGTAGTATCAAAGCTCTGCTGAGAGCTGTATCCTCTGAAGTTAATGGAAAAACAGTGTTGGTAGCCACTGAGAAATAAAAATACGTAAATTTCTCTGAAATCTGTAAACCTTTTCTTCCTATAATATGCTGGGAAAAAGAAATCTTTCCTACGTGTTCTTTTGTATTATCATCAGTTATGGTGACTGTGTTCTTTTACATTCATTTTGAATCTGTGTTTCCTGTCATGAGCAGATTAAAAACAGAAGAGAGCGGAGTGAAAGTTTTCTATTGCAAACATCTGTTTCTGAAAAAGGATTGTATTTCCATGTCCTGGAACATCAAGGGGAAAACCTTGCCCTCCCCAGACACACACCTTTGGTTTGCAGCAATAAGGAGTTTATAGACAAGGTTGCTTTACTACAATAAATAGAAAACCCATTTCTGTGTTTCCGGTGAGTAATACAGCCTGGATGTCTGAGGAGACCTTCAATTATTCCCAGCAGAGAGCTATCTTATTGTATATCTTTAAAATAGTTAACAATTTTTTGGGTGTGACATGAGCAATGCTTTTAATAACTCCTGTCTTTTGTATCTGAAGCTGCATTTTATATGCAAATATGGTTGTCCGGATAAGTGTTCTTAGGGAGTGTCATTAGAAATGGTGAATGGACATATTTATTCCATGGAAGTCAATGAAATCCACAGAAAAAAACCCCAAAACTACAGTGTCAACAGACTTCAAAAAGAAAAAAAAATTGACGCTGATGTATCGTCCATATCTGTCTCCTTTTAAGTAACACAAGGCTGGAAAATGGGAGAAAAGATGTAAGAAACACTTGGGGCCAGATATATAGTACTTTCTCATACTTTTTGGTATTCTTACAGGAATTTAGCCCTGGAAAGGAGGAAATTTATTTGTTTAGAAGCTACCCTGAGACCTTCCTATCTCCTACATAAATGACATCCTTTTAAATCTTCAATACACTGATATCCATCAGTGCAAATATCACCCAAAATATACTGCACTAGATTAATGTACTCCCTCACCCCTTTGAACCCAGAGATCTGTTGTTTGCAAAACTGGAACAAATTTGGGACACAATTTATTTATCATCTGGGCTGGTTCTTAGTTTGTAATTGTCTTAGGCAGTGAGGAGGCTTGTGCTGGTATACAGCCGTGATTTTTTCCTTTCCAAAGTGGAAGCGCGTCTTCAAGTAACAGTTTCACTTTGGGCAACATTATTGGTGAGGATGGTCTTCTATCTCCTAATTATTTCCCTCATCTGCCAAATCTCCTTCATGTATACACAACTGATGGTGATATTTCCATATCTGTGAACATATTAAAAACTCAAGGTTTCAAATATTAATACTAGAATTAATTGAAAAAACCAAAGAAAATGTAAAGCTTTAAAGTTTCAAAACCAGGTCGGCGAAGTTAAGAACTTGTTAGAAAATTCTTGTAAGCAAACAGATTTGGAAAATTTGGGAATGGAGAGGAATTCACAGTCTGAACCTGTGCTTTGTAACTCTGGTTGTTCAGTTTAGTAAGAGAGCTGGCAGTTGGCTGTTTACAGTGGTAATTAATATGACATCTCTCTCACCTTCTCTAGAGGATATATTACAGTGTGAACATCTGCCCATGACTTACATGGTTATCCAAGATGCTCAGAAGACAATCTAGAAAGAGTATGGAAAGTAATCCTTCATCCTGCTTGTTGGAATAAGGATCCTTAAGATGTGAGAGGAGGGTACAGGGAGATCTGCTTGTCTAATTTCCATTTAAATTGGGGGTCATTAGGAACCAGACACTTACGTAAAGACATTGATGTAAAGCCTCTTATTTATTTTTATAAATAGTTCCAGTTTCTGTTAAATATACCCTATTTCCAATATAAATTAGTCTGCTTTCCAAATTCAGATTGTGTAACCTCATTGCCTTTTAAGCTAAAAAACTTTTTAGTTTAAGAAATCTTCTCCCTTTATAATCAAAGAATGTTTTTATTTTTGTTTCTTAAAGAAACAGCATGGACTTCTTCCCCGTCCCGCAACTGTTGTAAAATAGGTTTTACATATTTTAAATTACAATTGTGACTCCTTCATCTTTTCAGCTTTTTAAGCTCTTCTGTTCAGGGTAAGCACCAAAATGTGCTGCAATACTATCGCTATTCTCATTATCATTCATTTGCTTCTTCTCAACAATATGCTAAGAAAACAATAAAAATAGAAGCTTTACTGAGAAAGTTTGCAGATGATGCACAGATTGATAGAACAATAAATAGCATTTATGTGTTTGAGAATAAGGTTAGCTGCTGCACCGAACTGAGCTCAATTTTTTAAATCTGATATCTGTCAATTTCAGTGTCATTGTTTTCCACAGTCCCACAATTTGTAAGGGTGACAGGTATTTTAGTTTCCAGGTGTGTGACCTTCCCCATTTATGTGTCTTCAGACTCATTGCTTTAATGAGTTCCTCTTCCTACCAAATAATCCAGCTGTGTATAACTAGCACAATGCAGTTTATCATTCCACTAAGCTGTGTATCATCTGCAAACTTTATTAGCAGCACTTTCCTGTTTTTTTCCTTGTGGTTAATAAAAACTCTAATTGCTAAAATGAGATCAGAAGCTTAACACCTGTAGACCTGGTAAAGATTTAACATCCAGCTAATGTATAGTTCCGTATACACTTCACTGATTATTTCATATTAATCTAAAAAATAAGGCTGTAATGAAGTACCAAAATAAACTCTTTTCAAAAAATGTAGCTATGGCACAGCCAAGTGTATTTCTAGAAAGAATGAAATACGTAAAATGCAGAGTTGTTATAATTATCTCTAAAAAGATCACTCTCATGTGAATATTTAATAACATTCCTAGACAAAGTTTTTCAAAGTTGTTCTGGTTTTTATTTTACCTTTTATATGCACTTTTGTGGCTATGCTTTGACTATTGTGTTCCCTTCTGGGGAACACAAACCACCTATGGTTTATGGGACACTTTGACTGGGTATGCAGCTGCTTTGTTTCATCAGAGCAATGAAAGGCTGCTGAAAGAGATTCTAGCACCCTTTCCTTTCTGAACTCCAAATCCTTCCTGATTTGTCACCCCCATCATCAATTATTCTTCATACCTCCTTGTTTGCATTCCCTTATCTTGGCTTTATCTGCAAATATTAGGAATTCTCCTGGCTCACATGAGTCTTCTCCCCTTGTATGACAAACTGGTATTTAATTCTGGTGGAGTGACCAGCTGCCGAGGGCACCAGATTTGTTGGGGGTGACAGCAAAACCTCCCTGCTCTGCCACCTTTTTATCTTGTGCAGAGAATGCGCATGTCCACTTTCCTCTTCATCACTCTTCCAAGGAGAGGGCTCCTGGTTTCCCCTTTGGTGCAGAAGACAAGCATGGTCCCACCTTCCTCTCAGCCTGCCTGAAAAGAGGGCCTGGCACAATAGGTGCTTTCCTTCCAGAGGCTTCATATGAATGGCCATACTTGCTGTTGGTTTTTGTAACTAAAAGTTGTTTGGTTGTTGTTGTTGTTTTTTCCCCCCATGCAGAGTTGTTCCCTTTTGTACTGGCCACCATCATCCATTGTTCTCCATGAAACAGAAACTGCCATTGCCCTCGGGGGAGATGGTGGCTGCCTATACTGTGAGGCATCATAAAACACAGACCCATTGGGAACAATGGGGAAAAGCCTTCTCAACATGGCCACCAGCTGAGGCCCACGCTGGGCCCTGGGGAGCAGCAGCCACGCTGAGGGGGAGGCAGCTGTCCACCACGGAGCCTCTTGGCCCTGCCTGAGGGAAAATGAGATTACATGCAACAGGAAAAACATCCAAACCAAACCAGCTTAATTGCAAGAAGCAAGTGAAATAAAGTCCTTGTGCAAGGTTACAAAGAGCTCTACTTCTGTGTAAGCTAGCAGAGCTCTTCGCCAGTTTTGTAGGGGAGGTTGAAATTCTTTTTGCCGCTTTCTCTTTTGGTTGCCTTAACTCCCACTTAAAAACTAAGTGAACAAAATTCTCATTTGACAGTTTTAATAGGCAACAATTTTTGTCGCAGAATAATAAGCATTTTGTCTATGAAAATATTATATTTTTCCACCCTTACTCCCTTTTTAGTGGGCAGCCTTCTTCCTCATAAGCTCTTGGCTCTATGGACTACGTATTATTTTTTTAACAAGATTGGAGATAAAGAAAGGTCAAATAATGGGTGGTTCATTTTCAATCTCTAAGTAAATCAATATATTCAAATATGTCTTTCAAGTCACTGTAAAATATGTAACCAAACTATATGCATTGTGCTGCTAAGCAGAGTACACTGCATTTTTTTAATAGAGAGTAAGGAATCCAGAAAGAATGCCTGAGTCTGAAAATTCTATCTAACTCTAGAATATTTTGTTGCCTCTGAAACATGAATTTAGTGAGAGAAAATATTTTAAAATATGAAAAATTTGAGAGCAAACATCATCAACAATTTTGCACAATCCATACTGGAATGTAGGAATGTTATGATTATTTTTGAAATTAAGCATTGTGAGTGACAGAAAAAAATTGGAAGACCTCTCTTAACAGGAATTCAAACTGTTCAGGTAATTAAAATCACAGTTAGCATACTCAACCAAGTCAAACAGTAATCTGTTAAAATGCCTTGTACATAAGCCTCCAGATCTCTGTTCTTGTACATTTACAGTTCTGCAGGATGAACAGTCACTTGCTGCCATTACTCTTTGTAGCAGAAAATTTCTTCTTGAGCAGAAGTCTGCCACAGAGTGATGCTTTATGATTATGGCCCGTGGCCATCTGAGTGTCCTTGTAATTCAGTTGATAAAGTTGATCTGTAAAGGTTTAGCATATGCTCTCTGGTCTGTAGAGTAGGCACAGTAATTTTATTTTGAAAGTAGCAATTGATCTAGAATGAAGAAGCAGCATTCTCAACAGAGACTGTAAGTATTTACTGGTACTGTACACTTATTACTGTGACTTTAGGAGCTGAAAGGCAGAGTTTTGGTTTTGAATCACCATAAATCCCACTCAGGGTGCTAGGTGTGCTGGTCGCCTTCCACAATGATTAAGAGAGTGTTTAGCAAAAGCTTAAAAAATTGAGTCTGTTACCCCAACATAAGCATTGAACGCAGGGTCTGAGGATCGATGAGAGTGATTGAAACAATGGAAAGCTGGAGCAAGCAGGAAGGGAGCAAACCCAAAAATCGTGATACAAGAAATGAAG